AATGTCACACGAAAAAATATTCGTTACGTCGAGTCCACTGAGCCCACTGCACAACATTTAGTTAACAACCTTATTTTTAGGTAACAAGTTATAAAATGAAACGGTTTGCTGCGCTTCTCAGTACAAGTCAATTTATTAAAACAAAAGAGGTTGGCTAAACCTAAAAGACTAGATTGAAATCATTTTCTTTCATTTAGGTATCTACTAGACATTTGAACGACTCTTTGAAAGGAAAAGATTTTACAGTAAATTTTTATGAAAGTTTTAAAGGTAAATAAATTAAGTTAGTTTTCTTGCCACTTGAGACAAATCTAAAGGTTTTACAATGTCTGAATAGCCACTATATCTATACTAATGTGATAAAGCTGAAGAGATTGTTTGTTTGTTGTTTTGACGCTTTAATCTCTGAAAGTGGTGGTTAAAATTGAATAACTAACTCTTTTTGTGTTGGATAATTTTATATTTATCGAGGAAGGTTTTTGGCTGTAAAACATCACGCTACGATCTATAGGAACCGAGCAGCGCGTGAAACTGGGTGGATGTAACTATTGCCAAATATATTTGAAAATACTATGTCATAAGTTCGTTGGGAACTTACATAATATACGGTAATATAAAGTCTGTCTTCGCGTAATTAAATAAAATAAGGTTACATACGGTATGTTCACAGATAATAAATACCAAGATAAGTTATAAAGATATTAATTTATTTAGTACCTAAATGTCTCGTCTCAGAGTTCTATTGCATTTCATAAGCTGCTGGTCGTTTCGTGAGGTTAAGGTTCAGTGATCTTTGAAATGGCTAAACCGTTTATCATGATACTTCAGAGTAGGGAAAGATTTATGGATTTGGTATCGTTAATTAAATGTTAAGAAGGTCCTGTGAAAACGCAAACAAGGACCTTTAACGTTAGAAAATTAAATTCTACAACATACGACGTCACATTGTTCAAAATGAACCGTTTCTCAAACGTTGACAATATTTCAGAGGGCGCGTTGACCACAAAATGGCGGGTACCTAAGCAAAGATGGCTGACGAGACTTGACGTGACACGACACGCATAATATTGGATTTCTGTTGTCAGACTGTCATTTATTGAATTACGAAGAGACGCTCGGGGTTGTGCTTTGTTGTGCTCGAATAATATTAAAGTTACTCATATCTTTACGTCAATTTTTTACCTTCATGAGTTTCGTGATATTGAAGGTTTTATGTGGTTTTTCGTTGTAGATATGAAGAAGAAGAACCTACTTGTATTAGATCATTGTTGCTTTTTGGATACGTTCTAAATTGGAATGAATATTTGTAGGTATTCCAAGTTTAGTAGGTAGGTGGGTAGGTAGGTAGGTAGGTACCTAATTATTTGGATGAGTTGGAATGGATTTTGCTGTCGGAAATTTTGTATAAAATATGTGTGGGTGGGTATATTAAGGCAGGGAACCATCAAAACACGCCAAGCTTCTGAGAATCTATGTACCTACCAAAATGTACATACTTAGGTATATGAATGTAACTAGTACCAACATTCTTAATCTTACGCATAAATACCTAATAAAATACTAGGTAATCTCATAGGTACTTAGTATAAAACAAACTCGAGTCTGTCACTATGCATGCTTATTGCTTACATTTTGAAAACTGAAACATTTTTCTAATTTCTAGTATTTGCAGACGGATTCGCGAGCAGGAAGCTAACTAGGTATATCATAATAAAACACAGTAACTGCAGTTGATAACTCTGATACACAATCACAAGTTTATATTGTCATTACGTAAGATCACTCCTGTAGGAAAAGAGGTAGGTAGGTACTTTCGTGCCCGCCTACGCCCATTTTCAGTAGACGTATAATTAATCCCATTGTAATAGGGACGGACGGGTTTCTAAAGGTTCGCGCAATTCAATACTCAGCAAATATTTTTAGGTACCTTCAAAATTAAAATGGACTTACCAGGTACCTAGATGCTTGGTGGTTTGCCCGACATTTTTTTTTTTTTTGAGAGGGAATATTATCTGTCGCTGTTTGGCGCGAAAGAAAGTGTCAGATTTATAACTAACTGTACCCCATTCCTTCTGCTTCGAGCGAGTACATACATTAATGCCTGGATTGACCTTGGTTTTATTTGAATTATACCAAAAATCGACCAATGATTTTTATGGCTCTGGCGGATCATACAAAAGGTACCTATAGCATAGCAAATTATAACCGCCGCTTTTTAGACGTCGGATTCCGCCTAGGGTAGCCTCACTCACACGGCGAAATACATATAACGCGGGTTTTCCTGTGCATGTAACCCCATTGAGTTATTCCGGCATAAATTAATCCGGTCATTCTTTGTAAAACATGGTCTTTTAACAATAACTGGAATATATAGGTAGGTGAAAAGTAGATAATGTATTCCGTTACTTTGCCTCAGCCATGGATTTATCAGTCGTACTTACAAATAATCGACTAACAAATACAGTTCAACCCATTCTCAAAAAATAACATATACAAATCGATTTGCGACACCCAGTCATGAGTCTTCCAAAATCTTACTGTTCCAAAGTGGATGATGAAATATTTGGCCCATATAACACTGTCGTTTCAAATCTTCGCCACTTGCCCAGAATTCCAAGGGCTGCTACCGCTTTTGACAAATATCCTTTTGACGGGAAGCTTTGGGGCCTTCGTTAGTTTGTGCTATAATTCATTCCGTAACGCTGAAAAACAGTTCTCAACTTGGGTTACGTTGTAAGTGTTGTAACTGATATTTTTCGGGGAACGTCTTCGTTTTTGTGAAGATAATCGTTTTAGCGGTCGTTTTTTTTTTTTCGCTGTTTATTGCCCACACCTCGTTGGTTAAAGTCTAAAGTGTGACTGTCGAACTTGATGTCTTTCTTTTGATTTCCGTCATAGGTTGAATTTAAGTATAACAAGCTGCCTAAATAAGTATCTGACATCTCATTTATAAAAAAAATGCCTAACCTTACAATAATTTTCGTCCCCTATTTTTATTCCGCAGTCCGATTGTCTGATTTTCTGGCTGCTATCGACCGTGACCGCTGGCCTGCTCGCAGTATGCATCGTCGGAACTCAATACTTCGTGATTGAGGGAACCAATTTTGGTAAGCTCGACGCAACAGTGCGAAAAGAGGAAGGTGTGTTTTGTTTTTGCTTTTTTTTTAATTTTAATTTTTGTTTTTATTATGGATCGAAAAGGAAATTTTGCTGGTGGATTGAAAAACATGCGTTCTTATTTTGAAATTGCCTTGTCCTTTGACATTTATGTTATTTTATCTGTGTTCGTATGTGTTTTTTTTTTGTTTCAAGTTTTACAAATGCAAAAGCAAAATTGCCTTTTATTTATATTATTTTAGTTGTCGCAGTGTACTAGTGTAGTCTTAATTAATAGGCTATTTACGGAGTTTGAGTCTTATTTTATTTTGTCAATAAAAAATTTATTGTATTAAACATTCTAATTTTCATTCGTTTGCAAAGTCGATTTTATTCATAGGTATGCTTGAAACATTATAATAAAATTAAAAATTGCTGGATCGTGAACCTATGGATATTCATGTGTATTATGTAATGTGAAACAAGGTCTCGTTTTTCCAGGAATATCGCACCGCATCACAGAAACTGCAATGGATTTTTTTATGGCGATCGTTTTATGCGGATATTCCGTCACAGTCTACCTTCTTTGGAAGGACCATTATGTAATGTGGAACCGATGGCGAAGGGCCAATGTAAACGTCAGGTTACTCCTCAGTCCTGACTCCCATCCCGTACCATTTGTACCACGACCGAGGTATAATGTGGTTTAATGATTTTGTCGTCTTATTTAGCAACTTTGTGTGATCAGTACCTTTTAAATATTATATGGAAGGATTCTTTAGTTTGGTTCTGTGTTTTTTATTTTATTTTATTTAGTTAGGTACGTGCCCTACTTTCTACTAAAACATGAGAGATAGATATAATAATTGGGAAGGGTACTTTATTATATGACTATACTCGCGTTATTCGCATAACGCGAGTATAGTCAGTTGCAGAAAATAATGACTTAGATGTAAGTTATTATATCTACCTAAAAGGTTGTATGGTTGAGACAGTAAAGGTTCACAACACTGCAAAGCTTTCTTTCAAAGCAAATCAAGTTTAATATTATCTATTTGAAGCTTCCAAAAATAATATTACCTATATGTTATGTCTAAAAAAGTGTTTAAATATTTTTACTTCGTTACTAAAACATGATAAGCATTATGAGTATAAAAATATAGATGTCTTTATTGATGATTCTTTCGCTAAGCCCTCGTATTATCAAAAGTATTTTTTCGCAAAACGCCTTGTTTACTACCATTTACAAGGAAAGCAAACGCCTATGATTTGCAGCCTGTGCTATTTGGCATCACGCCAGCCCCAAATTTACCTCTTATAGGTGCATGTTGAGTGGCTTTGTAATTCACCCAATGAAAAGATTAGATAGAGAATTTATGCAAAAACAGGTGTGTTAGCAAATTGGCAAGAAGCCATTTTAGATTAGGTTGGGAAATGTTTCTTGCTGCTTGACTTATTCCGATTGTATTATCATGGGGTACTAGGGTGTATTAGAAGCAGTTTATTTGGTTGGTACATGCCTAACTGTAAGGCTGGAAATATAGTATATTGTCGTGTCGTGTCAGGTCGCGCTGCGTTGTAACGCCCCAGGTTCATACATATGCCAGCACGCGACATAAAACGATACAACTGTATCTCTTAAACGTAAGAAGCCGATAGGCTTCTAGAGCGCCATGACATGGTATCTTAATTAACGTATAATATTTTGCTGTGTGTTAAAAAGACATCAAAATAAGCTTTTGATTATTATTTGTGTATATTTCTGAATAGCAAACAGTTATCTTATACAAAAAGACCTTTTTTATTGGCAGAAAAAAAGTGAACGTTTAAGTTGAATGCAGTCATAAACAAAATTCGAACAATTTACGGAACGCTTCCGAACGTACTTCGTTTCGTTCGTCAAATCGTCAAAGTCAATGGCGGGCTGCGTTTGTTGACTTTTATTTGTTGTTGTAACGGAAAAACTTAAATTTTATTGGAATAAGTTATTTATATTAGATATTTTGTATTTGAAGACTGTGTTGCATTACTTACGGAAGGAATTTATAAGGTTGAAAGATGAGTTTTACCTTTGGTTCTGCTACTACGACAGCGGCAAGCACGTTCGGAACAAATTCGCCGTCTACGGGTAAGTTTAAATTATTTATTCAATTATTGCTTGTGAAATAGTTTAAGAAGCCTTTTATTGTTCAATATCTACTCATTTTAGATAAATGAAAACGACGACAATGGCCAAATTAACTATGTTTTTTCTTGACAATTTATAACCTATATTTTGTTAATAATGGTGCAATTAAGCGTAATTTTTCTACTTGAAATCATTTATACAAAAACGTAATTAAGTACAACATAAACAGACATTAGAATTCTCTTGATACATATAAGTTTTCTCAACAAAAACAAAACGATTGAGTAATTTGTCATTCTTTTATCTCTAAAGATAAGGTTTCTAACATGTTTTTACAGGTTCAGGTTTTGCATTTGGCAGTGGTGATGCTGCTAAACAAGGGCTATTTGGAGCTGGAAATGCAGGTAAGAAAGACAAAGACAATTAAAAGGACCATGAAACATTCAGGCACTTCAAAATATCAAAATGTCCATTAATGTATTGTGTGACGCTGGCTTATTAAAAAATAAAGATCCAATTCATATATCTTTAAGGATTAACATTTTGTGTGCCGGTATATGAGGCATCTTGCATGCTTGCATTCTGGTTTCCGTTCCAATACCACAGGTTAAAAATCCTGGATGCAACTCTTAAGTAACTTAACAAGAGTTAAATGAGAACAGGTTTAACACATTACAGATATTTAGAGAAGGCTCTGTTTCACTATGTCTGCATAGCCACTACAGACCAGTAAAAAGGCTGAGTTTATAATGTAATTTGTGTGAATGAAATGCCTCATTACTAAGAATAACCATTAATGAAATTGTGCAACCATTTTCTTTCAAACTACTCTGAAACACTAAAACAATTGTTGAGAGCTATGTCCTTCTTGTCCGTGCCTTAACATTTACCCCCTTATTACAAAACAAGATTTTATATTTTGAATCTTATTCACACCTACCTTAAATTTGAAATACAACAACTGTCTCAAATGTAGACCTAGCCTAAAGGTAAATCTTACAACATTGTAGAGACTCAGTTTCCAGCAACAAATAAAAAAACTTGTTTTGTAACAAGGCCGTCAATGTTTATCATTGTCTCACACAGAAAACAAGCCAGCATTCAATTTCTCGAGTCCTTCAGGTGGGGGGTTCTCGTTTGGAGCTGCTAAAACTACAGCTGCTGCACCTTCAGTCTGTAAGTTTACATATGTGTTATAATGCTCAATATATATATATATTTATTGCATTCCACTATGTGAACTTGGATAATCATGAAACAGGTGGTAGGGTCTATAAGGACATGCATACGATAGTTTAGAAACATTGTGATTCCTGTTGGCATAACAATAATTTATATAAAGAGGGCAGCTATTACAAATATTTGTTTACCATACTAGCTATACAAAATCAGTCTATGGTGATCTCGCTCTGTATAATTGGTCCCAAAATTTAACAGTCGGTTACAAGTTTTAGACAGCTTGAGGTGTAGTCATGTGTATAATATGATAGGCAAAATGTATGATTCCACTGTTTACTTACAGCATTGTCAAAGTTTGCAAGAAACAAAAACATAAAATGACTTTTACATGCCTGTGTAGTCAAAACCATAATCTATTTTTTATACTAATATTATAACAATGCTAAATAGTTTGAAACGTGGTTAGCTTTGAGAAGGCTTTATTATATCAAGCTGTGTGAGCTAATCGCTAACCCTTATGGTCACAGGATTAAAACTATTCCAAAGCATGAATATCTTTCGTGTTGTGTTTTCAACTGACTCGTATTTGACTGTATGTTTTATGTATATGTGACCCTATATATGTATATGTTAGCCTTTGCTCACCCAAAGGCACTTAAGAGGTTGTTAAATAATTATATGTGATAGTATTATTTGGCATGCCTACTACTCCATAATTTACTTTTTCATTAATGTAATATTTCAATTTGCAGTTTCAACACCAGTGACCAGCAGTACAGCTCCAGCGTTTGGTGCTTCTAAACCTATAAGCTTTGGAGGCTTCACATCACCACCCAACCAGACCGTTGGCAGTCCAGGGTTTCCACAAATGCAGGTATATACCTTTTCTTATAATCTCTAGCATAACCTATTGTTATTATATAATAGTAACAATAGGTTATGCTAGAGACTCGCTCATACTGCTCCATCTTAACTTTGGAATGAGAACCTAGCAAATTTTTTGGCATTTCAAATGTATCTGTATGTTCTTAGTTGAGACAATACTTTAAATAAGTAATTGAACAAGTTATTTTGTGATATAAATATCGAATTTACTATAAAATAAAATTATATTAGTAATTCAGTGCCATGGAGTGATAAATGTTGTATTCCAACAACCATAAAACACAGCTTTTTTAAATATCAAGATAGAATAATAGTTTGTTAGTCTGATCGTCAGTAAAGCTAGGTGCTTATTCCAAAGTGTAAATTCCGATCATCCAAATCCAAACTAATATTATAAATGCGAAAGTAACTCTGTCTGTCTGTCTGTCTTTTCTTTACGCCTAAACTACTGAACCTATTTGAGTGAAATTCGGTACAGATATAGTTTGGAACTCGAGAAAGGACATAGGATAGTTTTTAAACTAAAAATCTGCAGGAAGTCACTATACCGCGCGCACAAAGTCCGAATATACTGATCATTTCCTTATCATTAAATTAAAAATCCTCTATCATCTCACACATGGCGCTTATTGCCACCTGCTTGTGGTTTTGTATTGGCATTAGCCTATTGACAATCTTCAATACAAAACCATATTAACATTACTCTTTCCTATGTTCTAGAGTGGAGCTACTACAGCAGCGCCTACATTCGGAACACCAACTACACAAGGTAAAAAAACTTTTTAAAAGATACTATATTTTCTTTCTTTAAAGAAACATTGTCTGTGAGAGACTAGGTTTTACTCTACTTAAATTTTGCTTTAGTGATAGACTAAATAAATAATTCATTCTCTTCCACATCATCTTTCATCAGCCTTATTATTACAAATATACGACACACGAGACTTAAGATACAGAATCTTAACTTCTTGTGTGTGTTTATTTTCTTATCTATGTTATACTAGCTACTGTTTCGCGGTTTCACCCGCTGCTCGTTCCTAGGTACATATCGTAGCGTGATGTTTTATAGCCTATAGCCGTCTTCGATAAATGGACTTCTTATATGAATAAAAGACTTGGATCTTGGATACTTGACTTTAATATGTATCACAGTACACATTGGGACAGCTCACTGCACCAAAATTACATTGTCATTATTGTCAATGGCAGACATTATCTACAACTTTATTTATACTAGAGGATGACAGAGACATTGACAGTTCTAGTGTTACAATAATTAGTATGACTAATTAGAGATGATACAAGAGGAGTAACAAACACAAGATTTGTTCAATTTGAACCAGTAGATAGATTCTTTGTGGCGTTTAAAAGTTAATTGAAATAAATTATTTGACATTACCATTTGTTCCAGCTTCAGCCGGTTTCGGAGCATCACCTAGCACCGGTTTCGGTTTCGGCCAAACAGCAACCACACAACCGTCTACAGGATTCGGCGGGCAAGCGGCGACAACCGGATTCGGCAGTACACCGGCAACAACCGGTTTTGGCAGCCAGCCAGCAACAGCAACCAGTGGTTTTGGTTTTTCAACACCTGCATCCGGTTTTTCTGCACCTCAATCTCAAGCTAATGCTGTAAGTTATTTATACTTACATGATTAAATTATTATTTAACTTTTGATTGCCCTGCGGTACAATTATTTTACTGCATCAAAAATGTTGGTTATGATTTTGGATAATATTCTCAACACTGCAAACATTTTTGAATAGTAGCAGTCGTAATACTGAATAATTGTCAAAAAAACGACTTAGTCGCGTGATCAATCATTTGAGAAAAGCTAAAGTTCTATACTCGGAATTTTAATTCCATTCCAGATTTGACAATTTCGGTGTTGCAACGTTATGACACGTAATAAATAGTGACGTTGCGAAATTATTCGATATGGAAATCGAATATTTCTGAATCGATTCCTCTCGTTTATAAATTTACTCTCGTAAACTAAGTTTATCAGGAAATAAAATATTTTTGAACCGATAATTTAGTTTTGACAATTAATTAACGATCTGAGACTTTTCTTTTGTAATTGTGTGTGAAATTAATAAAAAATGTGATCATGAAGGAACGTGACAAATAAAACAGACATTTTATAAATTGTCACCGTCATCGCGATCGCTATCGCTGTTACTTTATGTAAATACTAAATGTATTTATTATGAAATGTGTCTGTGATATTTATTGTCAATTTACATATCTAGCTTACTCATTTTTTCCTCTTCTTTGAAAACATGGGATACACATTTAGACCATTCGGTAGCCGTAATTTTTTGAATGCCTTCCTGAAACTGATTCACTGATTGTTTATCGATTTTTGTGTTCATCACTACACTGTTATATGTGGTATCATTATTTCACAAAATGACAGTGGTCAATGTCAAATCAGGAATCGAATTAAAAGTCTGACTATAGTATCTCCTAAATCCCCATTCCAAAAAAGTATTCTTCGTAGTCAATTTAAAAAAATGTACACGAAAGGATTTTGTTTGATTTCCAAGTTGTTATGTCTTCCTATTAGAAGCATTTTTATGAAAAAAGATGTGTCCATATTAATTCTTTTTCCAACAGGCTGCAACTACTACATCAACTGCTCAACCAACTCAATCGTTCATGGGCGGGGCCACGCCAGGTTTCGGCCAATCAGCGTTCGGCGCTAAACCAGGCTCCGCCTTCAGCTTTGGTGGGGGTAACACTGCAGCGCCTGCGTTCGGAAGTTCGCCTGCTACTAGTAAGTTATTCTTAATTTGCGCAAAGACGCCAACAGATTGCCTCATGGTAAGCAATCAGCGTTGCCCATGGGATACCCACACTACAGGAGTTACGAGTGCGTTGTCAGCTTGGATTTATTAGCTTTTACACCCTATAGGGCTGATGTTTAACCAAGGTTGCGGTGTAAGCGCAATGAGGCACCGCGGCCTCGGCCTAGAGTAGAACGGGTGGTTTTTAGTCAGTAAGACACTGAAACTCCCTTTTGCCTTACCCTGGGTGGGAAAAGTCATTTGATGATTTTACCCTAACAAAAAAATCAAGACAATATACGCAAGCATTGCAAGCAAGCTTGGATTCAGATACATATAAATTTTTAATCCATCCTGCTCTTACAATAATAACAATACAATTCAGAGTCTTCATAAGCAGCTATTTTAAAAACCTGTTATTATCTGATATAATAAGAACATTGATTATATTTGTTTAAATTGTCATTTAATTACTTAGCTTGAAAATCTTTTATAATTTTGTATTAGACTGGTACATAGCTAACAAAAGCCCAAGATATCCTAAAATATTTTGACAACTAAAAAAACAAAATTTTATTTCTTCCAGCGACCACAGCAAGTGCGTTCGGCCAGAAGCCAGCCACTTTAGGTTTTGGTACAATGGGGGCTACAACGGCGCCCACGAGTCAGACTACAACCAATACGGCTGGGCAGACCGGGCTTAGTTCTGGAATAAGCTTCGGCCAAACTACGGCCACTACGGCAACTACGGCGCCGACGTTTGGAACTGCGACCCCAAGCTTTCAGGCTGGACAGTTTGGCGGCTTGACTGGCGCACGTGAGTATACTTTGTGATTGTTTGCTTAGCTTAGGGTAAAGAATTCTATTAATGTTTTTATAATAACTATCGTGAGAGATACTAAATTAACTAAAAAATCGCGGGTTGTAGGTAGTAGGCTGCGCGACGTCGCCGCGTCCGCGCACGCTGCTCATGAGGAAGAACCCCTCTGTGGTTCGAAACTAGTAGAGCTTTTCTCAAAAACAAACGTGAGTAACCCGCGATTTTTTAGTTAATTCTATTAATATATTATAACTAGCTACTTTCGCGCTGTGTCACCCGGTACTCGGCTCCATTTGATTGTAGGATGATTTGTTAAAGCCTTCTAGCTATCTATCAGTGAATTTTGGAAAGCCGACCAGCTGTTCCAAAGATTACTCCCTACATACAAATTACAAGTTTTACGTCTTCTAGTATAGATTTTTTGTGTAGCGTAGGGACAATGATCTTACTAATATTGTAGATGTGAAAGGTTGTAACAATTTACTAATATTATAAATATTTAAAATTATAAATGTGAAAGGTTGTGACATTGTTTGTTATTATTTCACGCAAAAACATCTGGAACGATTTGGTTAAAATTTTGCATGTAGATATGTGAAAGGTGATGAACATACCACGCGGGCGAAACCGCGGGCGTAAGCTACAGTATGTTATAAATTCGAAAGTTTTAATAAATAAAAACTGCATTGAACTTAATGTTTACATTTTACAATTCCCGGGATTTATGTCTGAATACGAAACAATGTAGAAAAGGAGATAAACGAAAACATTTATTTAATTGTTGACTTTATTATATTGAACCATATTCATATCAATAATCATAACCGTATTTACAGAACAATCCACTCCAATCAACTTCAGTACATCTCTACCAAGCAGTCAACCTCAAACTGGGCTTAGTTTTGCGCCAGCCTCAACCGCCCAACCGGCACCCTCGCTGGGTTTCGCAACAACCACAACCCAATCGGGGCTTAGTTTTGGAGGAAGCTTATCGACGCCAGCATCTACAGCTGCTACTTCGGCCCCAAGCTTAAAACCTACATTGGGTCAAGCGTTACCTGCTGGACAATTCCCTAAAACCTCTGGGTCATTAAGCTTTACCCCAGCCACAACAACTCCCAGTTCTACAGCTACTACGTCTGCGGCCGCCCTTGGAGCTTGGTCTTCCCCATTAACAACCTCTACCCAACCAACAACGGCGCTTAGTTTTGGAACAACAACTACAAGCGCCGCGCCAGCGCTCAGTTTTGGAGTGTCAACAGCAACAACGTCCACGTTACAGACTGGTTTTGGCTTGACGTCGACTGCAGCGAAAACTGGGCTTAGTTTTGGAAAACCTACCACTTCTGTTGCCGCTTCTTCTGCAGGTAAATATGTCACTAGAAGTTCTTTTAATTAGTAAAGAGATTGTCGATAATCTAGGTGATCAGCGCCACCCCGCAACAATATGTGGTCCCGGAGCTATAGAAGGATTGGGGTGGCTTTTCGTCAGTAAGAGTCTGAAACTCCCTCTCGTCCCACCACCCAACCATACAGGGAGAAAGTATTTCTGTTGATTTACGATCCAAGAAAAAAACAAATAATAATATACTCATGTATGTGACAAATTCAATATCAACTGTTTTCGTTCTTTTGGTTCCTTAAAATTTCGATTAAAACATTGTGTATTGTTCATTTGTTTTCACATATTCTAAGAATAAAATAATTTGGAAATAAAATAATTGAAAATCTTGTCACAATGACGGTGACATAAAAATATGTTTTAACAAATTATTTTACAAAAAAAATGTAAAAAATTAATAATACCATATAAAAATTTGTTGTTTAATAATTTGGTACCTACATGTTTTTAATTTTTATTTTCATATATTCTTGAAAGTTACAAGTAAATTGGTTCCTAATAACTGTCCCTTTACTTATTTCCACTTGACTTACAACAATATTATCAAACATTTTCTTCTATACACGATTTCACGGACTCAGCCCTTCGCATTTCCCTGAAGATCGCCGCTGCAGCGAAATGCGAAGTACTGTTCTCAGTACCGTGTTTTAGAGATACTTTTGTTCAGCACAAGACGAAAACAGGCTAATAACAATCAAGATGTCCACTGCCGGACATAAGTTACCTACAAAAACTTTCAGATCAGACGGTTTGAACTATGATCTTTGTCTATCTTATGACATTAAAAAAACCAGTATATGGTATTGTCATAAGAATATGACCGTCTGATCTGACAAAGTCATATTCAAAAATGTCTTATTAGTCTATTTATTACTTTTTTATGTATGAAAATATTTTAATAAATTGTCTATTTGTTTTCTTCCAGCATCCACATCAGCCCCTTCAGGCATCATAGCTCTAGGAAAAAGCACTGCTACCACAACAATGGCGTCTTTAACTACAGCTACTACGTAAGTTTGATAAAAATAATCTAATATAATTATTGTAGTAAGTTAATACAAAGTTATAGAATTCTGACTTTTTCATTTGAAAGAGGTAAAGGGGAAGTATTGGACCTCTTCAGTCATTGATTTGATATATTTTTATAGCAATTTTTTTTTGGAAATTGCATACTATTCGACGTAAAATATGTTGCGACTTCATATACCAATCATAAAAAAGTATCCTTTCTGACATTACAATGTTATCATTTGACTAATTGTTAATGACAGGATTATACATGGGACTTATTAATATTAAATTTGTGAAAAGTAGCTCCCTCCGCCTCGCGTTTAAAAAGAGCGATATATTTTTTACACGACTGCCCAAAAAAAGGAGTGTTATGTTTTTAGGGTTCATATATGTATGTTTGTGATTTATAGGCGACCATTCTCAACTTCAAACAATAAAATTAATTTTATACAAATATCCTTTTTTTTAGTACAACAGCCTCAGTTCCTCCACAAATGGTGACATCAATAACATTCGCGCAGCTCGAAGAGAACATTAACAAATGGACGTTGGAATTAGAAGAACAAGAGAAAACGTTCATCAACCAAGCCACGCAGATAAACGCGTGGGATCGACTGCTTATTGCCAATGGGGAGAAGGTAATCACACGGCGAAAAACAACGAAAACTTGGACGCCGTTTTTCTGTGAGGCCATTTTGTCACTTCGATCACATTAACAAATGGATTTTGAGCTCGTTAGATATTTCCATTCCTCCTGATAATCAGGATATGTGATTAATTGAAAGGCGGTGTTTAATGAAATTTAAAAAAAATATCAATACATTAAGAACTAGTGATCCGCTCCGGCTTCGCGTGGGTGCAATGCTAATACTAAAATTTTCACTGTTGAATAGTTGTTGTTATACATAAAAACCTTCCTCTTCAATCACTATTTTTATTGAAAAACCTTTGCGTAGTTTTAAAGATTTAAATATACAAATGGACAGAGAAAGCAACTTTGTTTTATACTAAGTAGCGATAAAGACGAATATTAATTTCATTACACATTCCCTTACAGATTGTAGAACTAAATGATGCAGTGCAATCAGTGAAGAACGAGCAACAAAGCTTAGAACACGAGTTAGACTTTGTACTAGCACAGCAGAAAGAATTAGAAGATTTGCTTGAGCCAATGGAGAAACAATTGTCTGAAGAAACTGTGGACAGACTGAGAGATCCTGAGAGAGAACATATGTGAGTTATAGTTGTTAATCTTTACGTTTATATAATGGGTAGTTAGACAGTTATCTGATGTTAAGCAAAACCTGAACGCCGTAGTAAAATGTTTAAGTGCGATAATGCACTGCAGCCCCGGCCCGGAGCAGAAGAGGGAAACAGGGTGGTTTTCGGGCACGCTACCATAGCAGCGGTAAGACCCCTCTTTGAGGAGTGGCTTGAGAGACACCACGGCGTCCTCACCTTCCGTCTGACGCAGGTGCTTACCGGGCACGGCAGCTTCGGTAGGTTCCTGTTTCGGATTCAGCGGGAGGAAACGCCCGAGTGTCGTCATTGTGAGGACCACCTAGAGGATACGGTGGAGCATACGGTAGCGGTATGCCCTGCCTGGGCTGAGCACCGCCGTATCCTCAGGGAAGTGATCGGCGGCGGCGACCTCTCGCGCCCGGCCTTAGTCGAGGCCATGGTGCGGAGTGAGAGGAACTGGGACGCCGTCTCCTCCTTTTGTGAAGCAGTCATGCTCGCAAAGAGAGAGGCGGCCCGCGTGAGGGAGCAATCCTCCTCCTCACGCCCCAGCAGCCGCAACTGGCGACACTACGGGCGTCGGGGATCGAGGGACGATCTCCGGCCACCGTAAGCACGGGCCTGCGGTCGGCGAGTAAGGGCAGCTCGCCGCCCGACCAGAACCAGGCCCGAGCGTACGGCGCGTAGCGTTCCGCGCGCGCCTCAAAGAGCCAATAGACCACCACAGACGGGGCCCTAAAGGGCTGATGTTCAGCCGGGGTTGCGGGGTAAGCGCAATGAGGTACCGCGACCTCGGCACAGAGCAGGAGAAGGAACAGGGGGGTTTTTACACACTCCCTCCTGCCCGGCCCTGGGCGGGAGAAGTCAATTGATGATTTTCCCCTCACAAAAAAAAAAAAAAAGGGTGGTTTTAGTCAGTAAGTCTTTGAGTCCCTCTCCTTCCACTAGGGCGGGAGAAGGGATATGACGAATTTTCCCTCTCACAGAAACACCATGCGTGCGCGACGGCCTCTTGCGTATGTGGGGGATTTCGAAAAATGTGTTGGAATCATGCTTTTGGTTATCTCGCTCAGTGAAATCTTGCGGTGATTTCACTGAGCATTATTACATAGTCGGGGTTGGAATAGTATATGCTATGCGGGGCAAACGCTATTCGCGTCACCCTGGCCAAGAGAAGTTACTTGACGAATTTCTCCTTTCGAAAAAAATGTATTGTGATGTTGAGCTTGCCAACCTTCCGACAGGTAGGGTCCTTATGGTAGACGTGTCAATAAAACACAGAACTACATATTAAGGTATAGTTAATGCAACTAATACCTAATAAGAAGTGCTTCCTTTATTCAACATAACAATACTATTTATATGTAAAACAATGTGCCTGTCTTGAATTCCTATTGTCTACTTATCTTAACATTATCTATACTTAGACAACTATCTACTACGTGATGTACCATATATACAATACGTGATCATAGATCTATGGTGTGAATATATAACAATTAATTTGTAATTTTCAGGTATTCACTGGCAGAAAACCTAGACACACAACTAAGACAGATGTCTGAAGACTTGAAGGAAGTCATTGAACACCTCAACGAGACCAACAGGAGTCAGGACAGCAATGATCCTGTAAGATTTCTATATTTTTTTAGTTTTCTATATTTTTTTCCCTGGCCTAATTTAGCCAATTATTCTAATCATCGGCTAAATAAGGCTGAGAAGTTGGCTAAGTAAACTTGGGAATAACAATGAGAGAATTTTTACGATACCAACTGCATCAGTCCGTTTAAGGTTTTTGATCGTAAATATATTGCTCACTTTTTGGACTCCGTATTACTGATGAACTGTCGATGACGATGATGGTGGTAGACGCGCTCTTTCAATTAATTTATAGCTCTTTATTATTATTATTATTTTGTGTGATGGGACTGCAAAGGACCTGGCGAAACTGATGGTAAAGCAATTGGCGCCGTCTATGGACACCAGAGGAGTTACAAGTGCGTTGGCCTGTTAGGGATAGGGCTTTCGTTTTTTTAATGATTGGGAAGGGATGGAGCGTGAGAGAGGGATTGGGCCCATGGAAACCTCAATCACATGGCGAAACACAACGCATTGGTTATTTCACGCCGGATTTCTGTGAGGTCGTGACATCACTCCGATTGAGCCGACCCATTCGTGCCCAAGCTTGGCTCTCCCACACTAATTATATTTACACTTATTTAGATATCAAATTCTTTACAGATCGTCCAAATCGGCCGCATCCTCAATGCCCATATGTCATCTATGCAGTGGATAGACAACTCCATAGCACAAATATCTACAAAACTGGATCAGTTGAAGGCCACACATGACACGCTACGGCGGGACAACGAAAGATCGTACCAACTAACTTACAATTGATTAACAACTCTATTACATGTAATACAGAATAACATTTTGAGTAATCAATGTTTGGAAGAGGACGGAATATCTTCAAGATATTTTTTCAAATAAATGAAAACAGATTAGATAGAAGCAAATTAAAGTTTAGTATTTGGAGCTAGCTACATCACTCACAAGTGAAGTTATGCTATATTTTAAATCAATGTACCTTCCTAGGTTTTTATTCCGGAAATAGGGAACAAAATAAGTGTCCAATTTGTTTATTGCGGACGTTAAAAAATTGTATTCACTCAGACTTAATAGTGTTGAAATATTAATATCCAAATGCTTCTTGGTTTTGACATAAAAATTGTAATAATAATAATTTTCTCCATATAAAAAACATTGTAATTTCTCCAGTATTTCTTCATTCACATCTCTGTTACAGTTTTTGAAGTATTGTAAAATTAATTGTTGAATTTCTTTTTATTTATGTAAAAAGTTCTACAGTGAAATAAAAGTGATTATTATTTCTTAATGTTTGTTTTAGTGTAAACCCTAAGACCAAATAAAAATAACCAAGTTTTAGGTTAATAATTATTATCACTCGTGTAGCCATTCACGGCACCACTAGGAGTCGGTTCATTCGGTCATTCGGGAGGCTTACGACGGGCCGAAGCCAACTGTGCAGAGGCTATTGAAACGCAGATGAAATAATAAACTTATACACCTTACGAATAATCACAGCTATTTATTAAAGAAATATATTTTTTACACAATCGGGTAGAGTTTCGACCTATCTCGTATACAACGGCCAAATGTGTCACAAAATGAGCGGTTCGACTATTTATACCCTGCGGCCGTTGGGATGTGACGTCACTAACTGGCTTGACTAACAATCTCGGCATTGGCGTGGCATTGGCTTGGCTTGGCTTAGCTTGGCGTGGCTGGACACGTGGCGTGGCGTTACAGTCGGCCATCCTGTAACAATTGCTCCCGCAATGAAGCACATAGATTGTATTAGCTTTAACTCTCTAATAGGTCAATTAAATCTTCAGTCTCTAGTTGGTCATCAGAACTGCTGGCACTGTCAGATACAGGAGCTATGCTACGATATGGTCGCAGAGAGTCTGCTGAAACAAGCCCCGTAAAGTTTTTGTAACCTCTTAATCCCTTAATGCTCCTGATCCTGTATCTGTCATTGCCAAGCACTTTAGTTATTATATAGGGGCCTGAATACAAGTCGTCCAACTTTGTGTTGACCCTAGCAGCACTACTAGTGGGTGCCTGTCTCCATAATACTAATTCTCCTTTCTTATATACATGACATTTTTTGCGACGTTTATCAAAGTTACGTTTCATCCTATCGCTAGCTTTATTGATACGTGTACTGGCCTTGCTACGTTTCGCTTGAGTGGATTCACATACTTGGTCTGGGATGGATACATCACACACTGGCCTACCACTACGCGCAAACATTAAATCATAAGGCTTAAACCCGGTAGTATCATTTATAGTATTATTTATCCCCCAAATTACATCTGGTAGACGGTTTGACCAGCTATTAGCGGTTTCACTAGGGTCAGATGCACGGAGAGCATTCAATATTGTGCGATTGGTGCGCTCAACTTGCCCGTTGGCACGAGGGCACGCAATTGCATTTAACGTATGTTTAAACTGCTTATCACTTGCAAATTTCTTAAAATACCTACTAGTAAATGCCTTGCCATGGTCAGTTACTACTCTATCCGGATAGCCAAATAATGCGAATATTCTTTTAAGTATTCTAATTGTTTCAACTGAATTAACTGATCGACTGCACTCTGCAATAACAAATTTTGAAAAAGCGTCAGTTATAACTAACATATATTCATAACCTTTCTTTGTCCTACAAAACGGGCCTAAATGGTCGACATGAATCATTCTAAACGGTTCATTTGGTTTAGGAATCGGATGCAACATGCCTTCCTTCCTACCATGATCTCCCTTTCCATATGCACAACTTAAACAAGCGGTTACATATTTACGAATGAATCTTGTCATTTTAGCGAACCAAAAATTATTTTTAATTAAATCCGTGCATCGTTTTAGTCCTACATGTCCTATTTCGTCATGATGCATTTGAAGTATTTTCCACCTAGCTGCCCCAGGCACTACAAGTCGATTTCCATCGAGCGTCTTTCTATATAATCTGTCATCTATTAACACATAATTGTTTATTATATCCCGTTCAGCTGATCCGGCTTTTAATTTGTCAATAATATTTTTTAATTTGTCATCTTGATATTGAACTGTATAAAACCAATCAGTAACTTCCAAACGATTAATATTTACAGCATCGATTGGATTCCTACTTAACGCATCGACATGTTTCATTCGTTCACCCGGTCTATATTCTACGCTAATGTCGTATTCCTGAATTAAAAGCCACCATCGCGCAATACGCGGTATAATGTCGCGTTTAGTGAGGGTAGCTCGGACGGCAGTACAGTCGGTAACTACTTTTACGTGTTTACCTACTACGTACATCCGAAATTTACGCAACGATTCTACGACCGCTAATGTTTCGAGCTCGTAGCTATGATACATAGTTTCCTCCCTAGACGTCACTCGGCTAAAATACATAACAGGACGCAAAGTGTTGTCGGACTGCTTTTGTAATAAAATTCCTGCTATTCCTAATTTGCATGCATCTGTATGAATTTCTATATCCAAAGTAGGGTCATACAAAGCTAACACTGGTTTAGAACATAAACATGTTTTCAGTTTGTTAAAGCTATCGGTCTGTCTATCACTCCATACCCACGATACATTTTTCTTAGTTAATTCCGTTAGAGGACGAGCTATAACCGCGAATTTATATATAAATTTTCGGAAGTAACTACACAGGCCTATAAATTGACGTACCTCATGTACATTACTTGGTACAGGAAACCGCGAAACTGCAATTAATTTTAGTTCTGCCGGTTGCACACCTTCATGGGAAATTTCATGTCCTAAGTAAGTCACTTTCTGTTGTAAAAAAGAGCACTTTTTCATATTTAGTTTTAAATTTTCTGATTCAAACTTTTGCAACACCAATTTTAACATTTTTATACCAGAACCAAAATCAGGTGAGGGTAGTAATAAATCATCTAAAAATGCAAGAATTTCACCATTAGAACTGTCAGTTTGCGACGTCTGGGAACGAATGGAATCAACTATTTTACTAATCATTCGCATAAAAACTGAGGGTGCATTGGCTAAACCAAACGGAACGCGCATATACTCATAATGACCCTGAGGTGTTATAAATGCAGTTTTGTGAGTGTCTTCAGGTGCAATTCGTAATTGGTGATAACCTTGGGCCATATCGAGACTTGTGAAGTACTTCATACCAGCCAACTTTGAAACTTGATCGTCAATGTTTGGTAACGGATACCTATCTTTTATAGTGATTGAGTTCAGAGCACGATAATCAATACATAACCGACTATCACCGTTCTTTTTCTTCACTAAGATAACAGGAGAGGCATAATCTGACTCAGATTCTTTAATAATGCCGGCGTCTAGTAAATCACGAACTTTTGAATTTACTATTTGTTGTTCAGTGTGCGATAACCTATAAGGTTGACGACAAATTGGTTGCGAAGTGGTAAGCTTTATTTTCATGCTTAACAAATTAGTGCAACCGAGATCTTTTGTGTCATTTGCAAAGGTGTTTTTATATTGTAATAATAAATGTATTAAACTATCACGCTCGTCTTTATTTAAGCTCCCCATATTGATTTCAGATATAGATACTCCGCCTATAGTATCATTAGTGATTTTATTAGTTGTTAAAATCGTAGCAGACGGGACTGTAAGGCCATACGAATTGGAAAAACTAGTGGCTAAACCGGTTGGCTTATTTGGCAAAATGCTTGGCAAGCAAGATAACATTGACTTGGCTGAACTCACCTGGCTTGGCTGAATCGCAGATTGGTCGCAGCTAACTGCTCGTGCGAGGACCTGGCCGGCTTCCCACTCGATGTCTTTAGTGCCGGTGTTGATAACCTTCATGAAGCCCTCTCCGCCTCGAAGTAACGTAGCTGGTAGCGAATAGGAAACTCCATGCAGTTCATAGTGGCGTGGCGCTGTGCAGACATCATCTTCCTCGGTATTGCCCAGCACTCGGACTTTGATGAGGGAGGTACCGGGCGGCAAGGATTCTTTGTTTGATGTCACGACGTTAAATTTCTGAATATCTTCGACTACTTGAAGTTCAGCAAAAGGGTCAGGGTCCAATCTTAACGAAGCAGTCCTATTGGTCACCACCAATGACACATGATCAGCGTTGATAACTGGCTGACCAACTAATAATTGAATGTCCTGCATGTCGGCTTCTGTTATATGAGCAGAACATCTAAAATGAATGTCATCAATTTCTAGGTCAAATTCTACTTCTCCGCGGCTCGTAAGTAAACCACCAGAAAAGCCTTTTAAGATAGTGCTCTTAGGTATAACCTTGAGTGCCAAAATATCAGCAATATCTGCATTTATAACATTTACCTGACTTCCAGTGTCAATGTAAGATTTCAAAAAAATCCCGTTTACCTTCACGACCTTCTTGTAAATGTCATTATAATCTTGCACTAGCTTAACTTCCTTGATGTTGCTGTTCGATCCGGCAGACGACTTAAGCTGTGTAATTGAAGAGCCAGGGCAGCGGGTAGCAATATGACCCTGTACACCACACTTGAAACAAATGCGTTGGTCAGGCAATGAGCAATTTCGTAAAATGTGGCCAGTCTTCTTACAACGCGGACAGGGGTCAGTCTCAAGGTTCACTTTCTTATCTGGGTTCGGCAGCTGTCTAGCATCCTTGTTCGGCTTGTCACGTGCTTCAATTATCGGTGGGCGATAATCATCAAGGGCACAGAGGAAGGCTTCATATAGTTCATCCGGTCGCTGGCATTGGAAGGCCCTTGCATTTGGTTGTAAGGTAGACGGTAACCCTCTGATTATACACGAAACGCTAGCAGTATCAGATAGGTTACAACGAAAACACATGGCAATTTTATCCTGGTAATATTTTGTCATGGTTTCGTTCGGCATCTTCTTCCTGTTCATCATTTCTTCTAACAAAGCACTGAAGTCACGGTGTTTGGGAAATGCTCTTACTAACATACACTTCCATTCCTCCCAGGAGTAGTTATAATCATCGAGTCTATTGTACCACTTACGCGCTTGACCACGTAGTTTATCTTGAAGGTGAAAAGATTTTACTTTGTCGCTCCAGCCGTGTATGTCTCCCAACTGATCAATTTTCTTCAACCATACCGATACTGTGCAATCTTCTCCTTCAGGGTCGAATTCTGGGATAAGGGATGCCGCACGATGGCCTTTAAATTGGTTGAGCGGCAAGGTTTCGTCATTGAGTTCTTGTATCGCCCTACCCACTTCGTTTTCTAGCATACTTTTAAGAAGTTTTCTAGCTGGTGGCGGTGGGAATTCTTCGTCTTCACTGATGTGGCCTTGCTCTTCTTCACTCCAGCCAGGCGGACGGACACCACAGCCAACAGATGCAGTAAGGCGATTACGCTTCATATCCCACTTCTGAGTGAAACGCAGATGAAATAATAAACTTATACACCTTACGAATAATCACAGCTATTTATTAAAGAAATATATTTTTTACACAATCGGGTAGAGTTTCGACCTATCTCGTATACAACGGCCAAATGTGTCACAAAATGAGCGGTTCGACTATTTATACCCTGCGGCCGTTGGGATGTGACGTCACTAACTGGCTTGACTAACAATCTCGGCATTGGCGTGGCATTGGCTTGGCTTGGCTTAGCTTGGCGTGGCTGGACACGTGGCGTGGCGTTACACTATTAAAAAAACAAAGTTGCTTTCTTTGTCCCTATAGAACTACGTACCTAACGGATTTTAAAGCGGTTTTTAAAAGCTAGCGTCACTAAAGAGTATTGTTTTTAAGTATAATAACATCTATTAAATAGTTAGGTAAAAAATTTAACTACAGTCGGCCGCTAGTCAGTGGTAATAATTAAATTATTTAAAGAATTGTGACTGTGTAGACAATATAATACCTATTTGCACCCTATCTATTGCGATGACCAGGGCATTTGTTTGTCGATCAGGATAATTATCTTAATTGATAAATTGGAAAGGTAAGGCATGCGTGGCAAAGGATTGGAATTAATAACATCTTACTTATGTAACCGGCGACAATACACTGAAATGAGTAAATATTGACATAAAAGACAAAAACGAAATGAAATACTGCTCTCAACCTTGAAAAATTTGGTACGGGATGCCACAGGGAAGTGTGTTAGGGCCTCTACTCTTTTTACTTTATATAAATGACCTTCCTAAAAACCTTAGCCATCCAACAGTCCTATTTGCTGATAATAGCACTCTAATTATGAAATCAGACAAATCGACGAAGTAAATAACAGTTTATTTTTTTTTTTTTTTTAATACAACATATAAATCTAGAAAAAACATATTGAATTTTATCAGCGTCTGTCCCTGTTAAGTAAGTATTTATACAAATGTGCAATAATGATTAATATAGACTAAAAACTAACTACTTAACCTACATTAATGTAAGATAAATAATTTTGTGTCTGACGCAATGTAAAGAACCTACCATCTATTACCTATCATTTACGACGAGGTAGACCCGAGCGTACGGCGCGTAGCGTCCGCGCGCGCCTCAAAGAGCCAAAAGACCACCACAGACAGGGCCCTATAGGGCTGATGTTCAGCCGGGGTTGGGGGTAAGCGCAATGAGGCACCGCGACCTCGGCCTAGAGCAGGAGAAGGAACAGGGGGGTTTTTAGTCAGTAAGAATCTGACACTCCCTCCCGCCCGGCCCTGGGCGGGAGAAGTCATTTGATGATTCACCCCTCAAAAAAAAATCTGTTGTAAAATACCTACAGTCACAAAATTAAATTAAATATGTCTATTCTGAGGCAACCGCCTCAACTGCCTTGCAGCACAATTAATTAGAAACACCATTGAGAAGTATAGTAAACTCACCTAATTGTGTGACTCACTTAACACGTTCGCTGCATTACGAGATCTATCAGATCTCTTGCAGAACTTTTCTATTGTGCGTTGAATAAAATCGTGTTGTTTCACTCCTTGCGGGAGGATCTAACTTGTAAAGTTCTTTATGTATGAGTAAGACACATATACATATTTGCGTTCTACTTAAAACTAAATTTAAAGACATTAAAAAATAAATTAGAGATGGATTAGATCCCTAACGCACAGAACTATAATTATTTTTATTTCTTGCGTTACGAGATATGTCGATACTCGTGGAATCATAGGCCTCGTAGACGCAAGAGAGGAAGGGAGGGCGGCGCGGGCGCTCCGTGACTCGTGTTAGTGTTGTCCTAGCATCGACGTGGATAAACGGAAATAACACTCGCGTATATACGTCGTGTACGTGTTGAATACTTTTTATTAACAATGAGTGATTTTAGAAGGAAACATATGCTCATAAAGGTAGCTAAAATCTCTCCAGAAACTAAGGTAATGGTTCCAGACAACGCATATGCTAAGCATCGTCAACTAACTGCAGCACGGTTCGCATGAAGTCAAGCTTATTATGCACCATTTCAATCATTCCAGTTTACTGAATAGACGTCTTCTTGGATACAATTTAAATAACATTAATTTAGGCATTATTGCCGACTGGCAGGCACATGTTAGTACATGTGCCTGGCTTTTTTGGACTAAACGTAGTTTTTGTGTTAATGTACTTCTTCTGTTGATTGCCTGAAAATGTTTGGTTGTTGCTGTGACTGTCTTATCTTAGTCGCATTCCTGGTGGGCTTTGCTACTTATCTCTAATGTTATAGTGTTACAATTATGTAAGCATTACTACACGGCGGGGAACCCGGTTTCACATCTCTCTGGCAAGTTTCTGGTAACATTAGCAATAACAATTTCAGTCATTATAACAAAAACGTTGTTATAGTAAACTAGAAGTACCTAGTATTAATAATTTTTTAAATCGACAACTGAGATATTATTTTGTTCCCATCACTACTTACTACACATATTGAACTATCTTCGGTTGCGGTATGAGATACGACCGATACCTAATTTTTTTTTGGTATTTGTAGTTTATACAAATGTCATAACTGCGTGCGAACCTAGCAAAATATAGAGCAACAGGCTATCTTTCACCCACATAAACTTTAAAATATATGTCATTGGTTTTCTGGAAGATATGAGTTATTGTCAAAACTGTATTTTTAGGAGACTGATTAGGTCTCAAACGCACTAAAGGGCAGATTAGTTTCGAGATCTTTTAGGTCTCCAAAGCACCAGCTGAAAGTTCTTTGAAAATGATGGCGCAGTGAACGTGTTAATTCGGAGATTCCACGTTTGGACTCTTTCACAGCGTTATAGGAGTAAAATCCAATACATTAAAATTAACCCTATGGTATGGTAATAAATCTTCTTTTCGTGTACAAATTTTTGTTAAGATCGTGCGAGTGATATAGTAACAATCACGGAATTTGTCATTCCGCCCGCCATGTTTGACGTTTCACGGTAGCGTGCGACTGTGCTGTCATTATTTAATTAATTTTAAATAGAAAAGGTGAGTGTAAGTTGCTGATACTTTGACAATTAGTTGTTAAAAGCATATACTTGTTGATTTTATGTTAAAAAATAATAAATACTCTCTTAATTCGGTTATAACAGAATTAGAAAAGTACTATCACCGAATTATGGTGTTTGTCACAGAATTAGACAAGTCATCGCGGTTTGATTAAGCTCATTTTACGCTGAGTTGATTCATATATATTAAGATTACACTTGCTCATATGATAAATAGAAGACTGATTAATGTTCCTATTAAAAATAAAAATAAAATTTATAAAGTTTAACCTGTTTTTTTTTTCCACATTCTTTTTTATCACAGAATTAGATGAGTTGACCCTATCAATATCTCTTTCGCATGTTTAACTTTTAATTTTTCAAATTCAAAGTGATTCCGCCGATATTTATTTATTTATTTATATTTAAACATTACATTCATCATTACAGGCACACCTAATACGATAAATGCAGTTACATATTATTAGTAAACTTATAACACAATATCCGGGTAATAACCGTAAAATAATTTAGACAAAGAAAAACAAAAGAACATAAGCACAAAGAACCTTATTTAAACTTACAGGTTAATACATTTCCACAAAACTATCCCTAATAAACGTAAATAACTTTAGTAATAACAAATATGTACTTATATTTTAAAATCTATATGAACCTAGTTACTAACAACATAAATTATATAAATAGAATCAAATAAGTACCAATCCTAAGAACTTAGTTATTATTCACAATAACCTCATATGCTACCTTTGTGAACTCGTTGAGTGTACACGAGAATATATCCGTACTGTCCGCTATTGCATTCAATATGCGCAACGCTCGCGTCATTGGTGCCTTCTGCAAGAGGTTCGTGCGTGCGCACGGTACCACCAGCAGCCGCGGCCGCCGCCTACGCCGCACGTACCCGTTCGGAACACACAGGTGTAATTCCTCCAGTAGGGCAGGGTGGTGCGTTATACCTCGCAACACCTTAAACATATAAGTAGCTAGACCTACTTCACGCCTCACCTCCAGTTTGTAGTATCCTACCATACCCAGTACAAACAAAGTTGGATATGGTATTGGGTATCCAGGGTATATACCGTACGATTTTGAATACATGAATCTGGCAAACTTATTTTGGATTCGTTCTATCATGAACTTATATTTGTCCTCATGTGGACTCCAGATACCAGAGTTACACTCCAAGTGACTTTTAACTAAAGCTTCATAGAGCGCTCTTAAAGCTGCGTTGTTATTGAACTCGTTTGCCTGACGTAAAATAAAACCTAGATTGCGGTATGCCTTCTTGCAGACATCCATAATGTGTTTCCTGAAGTGTAGCTCTGATACAAAATGGACTCCTAAATCTTTCACCTCCGTAACGCGTTGCAAAAGTTCACCTTCCATGCAGTATCGGTGGTGACGGGGACTGCTTGCACCTTGCACTCGTGCAAGTTGCACGAGTGAATGACAGAACTGAGCATTTAGCAACGTTGAAATACAACTTAAATTCCCGGCTCCATTCAATGACTCTGTCAATATCGTGTTGTAAACTAACATGGTCCTCGTTATCCCTTATTTCGTGTATAAGTTTTAGGTCATCTGCAAACAGTAGGCATATGATATGCAGTTGACTGTACCTATTACAAAGCCGAGGCGGGTCATTAATAGATTATGTAAAATTAAAATCAAGAAAAAATAAAATAATAACAATTTATATTACATCAATACACAATTCCACTTATAAAACACTGCAGTTTAATATTCTCATCAGTTTGCAAACATAAAATCACTAGTTTCCTATGAACTATGCTGCAAACTGTACTATTAGTAGAAATTTGTTCGGCACTGAGAAACATTGATAATTTCTTCGCGTCGACACGACAGTAACATATTCGGGACATGTCTTCGTTTATTTGAGTCTCCGTTTCCGAATCTGAATGTTCTATTGGCCCTGAAATCAGAATTATTTATCGATCAATGTGTATGGCACGGGCAACTATGTTAATTAGCCGTTCAATTAACTGCGTGAAAGCCTAGATTGAATGACTCTATTGCAACACGACATTGGTGGTTTACCGATGTACTAAAATTTTCCTAATTACATTCTAAAATCAGTTCACTTATAACACTAAAAGTGTGGGAGAGCCATGCTTCGGCACGAATGGATCGGCTCGACCGGAATGATACCACGGCCTTACACAAAACCGGCATAAAACCACCACAGCGATGTGTTTCGCCGTGTGATTGAGATAACCGGAGGCCCATTTCCTTTCCTTCCCCCTATCTTTTCCCAATCCCTAAATAACCAAAACCCTTATTTCTAAAAGGCCGACAACGCACTCCTTTTGTGTTGCGGGTGTCCATGGGCGGCGCTGATTGCTTACCATCAGGCAATCCGTCTGTTCTTTTGCCGACATATCACATAGAAAAGAAGACTACAAATTTGAATGTTACATACATTCAATAATAGACCTTCTTAAGAAAATACGAAAGGCTAAAATCATTTACCTCCAAAAGCTTCCACTCTTAACCCTTTGAACCGTGTGGAAACTTTAGCCATATCAGTCTTTATTTGCAAGGTCAACCGACCTTCAGCGGATGCTCTGATAACGACCTCTGATGCCATGGTCTTCATTCTATCTATTGTGGTCCGGAGTTGCTTTAGTGGTGGTAATTCTATTGATATCTAGAAATTAAATTATATCAAATTAGCTATGTGTGTTTAAGAAGTCAGTAAAAGTTTTTAAAATGCGATTAAAGTCTGTAGGAGTTGCACAAGATTTTTTGAACTCCATTTAGAACGGGGTTTGTAACCTCATCGTAGCCTTTTCATTTTAGATGGATACATTGATTAGATACATAATCTTGCCAAACTAGGTTTTTTCGCGACCTGTGGTTTAGGAATAGTCCAAATTGTTTGAATTAACAATACAAGAGCTTTAATAATAGAGAGCTGATTTGGAAAGTAAGTTTCACAGACCCGAGTCTCATCCTGTGTCATTTTGGTTGTTTACGTTACATAGATCTCTGACTCATCAAAGAACATAAGGCGGGGAAATTAAGAGTTAATAGGACAGCCTTTTCGTGGTAGGCAAGTTTTAGCTCTAATAAGTTTTCTTGACTGTAGTGATACCGTGGCTTTCGCCTTGTCAGTGAGGTTACCGGAAACCCAATCCTTGACATAAAAAAAGGTTAGGTACATTGTTAATCACCATATGAGATTGCTGTTAGGTACTGAATGATGGACATTCCGCCAGCCCAAATGCCTCAAAACATTATCTATGCACTTGCTACCATGATATGTCTGCTTGCTTGTCTTTGTAATACTTACATCAGGATCAGGTACTCTCGGCTCATGGAAGTCGCTCCACAGCTTCCTCGGTACCACTGTCACAGGTATATCATGAGTCACTTGGCGAGTTTGCTGTGACACCGTACAAGGCTGAAATAAAAAGATTTTTTTAAGTAAGAAAATAGCAATCTTTTCCCTCCCCCAATCCTTAAATCTCCATATGCCTAAACCTCAAAAGGCCGGAAGCACACTCATATCTACACTGTTTTTGCGGGTGTCCATGGGCGGCGCTGATTGGTTACCATCAAAGTGTGGGCAAGCTATACTTCGCCACGAATGTGTCAGCTCGACCAAAATGATACCACCAAAGGACGGGTGTGGAACAATCATAGTGTTGTGTTAGTTAGAGTTAGTGTGCGAGGTGTGATTGAGGTTACCAGAGCCCAATCCTTCCCTTTCCCCATTCCTTCCTAATCCTAAGGTGTATATGGCCGAAACCAATTGCTTATTATCATCAAGTAGTCAGTCGGCTCATTTGCTATCACATATGTTGTGGGTACTTGTGTATTCATATTAAATGGATAAGGTTGACTCACATCCGGTTTCTGTAATGCCGATCAATGTTAAAATCAATTTAATCTCTTGTCAAGTCATCTGATTGGTTGACTGAATTATCAACAACCAATCAGATGACTTGACAAGAGATAATCAGTACAAGTTGTTCACATTTTGCTACTTAGCTCAGTAAACTTAATAAAATATTTTTTTTAATGGACATAACAAGATAGACTAATTTTTATTTTTTGTTAATGTTGATAAAGTTGTATAAGCTTAATGATGTTCACAATGAATGCACTTTTTTAAACTATACACACCGTTTCAATTTCTAAAGTAAGACATGGACACTGCTTCTTAGTGAGTTTCATCTTTAATGACTTAGCCGTTTTCAATGTGACTAGGGACCTTGCTAGATTACCTGAAAATTTTATTAATCATAAAGACGTAAACAGTTACAATTACTAGCATAGAGGCCACTACAGGAATCAGTCCGGTTAACTGGAAAACAGCTGGGCACAGCACCCAAAGTGTGACAGAAGCATGAACGGGCCAGCTCAAGCTCAATACCACGGCCACACAGAAAACACGTGTGTAGCAAACCTTATTTTGAATGTCTATGGGTGGCGCTGATTGCTTACCACCAGGTAATTCGTCTGCTCGTTTACCGACTTATGACATAAAAAAAAGCTGTTGCGTACAGAACTATGGGTAGGCCTACCTATAAATAAAAGTTACATTTTTAATTGAAACTATTTAAATTATATGAGTTACATACAATTAGACAGTATTTAGATGTTTTTAACAACATCTTAGTCAGTATAAATGCATTATGGACCATTGACTTTAAAATGGCCTTCACAAGTCACTTCGAGATCATGATATGAAGTCTTGAATCCTTAAATGTCAGTAGTTTGTCTTAAGGGCAGAGTACTGTCCTTTCTTATTGTATATGTACATCAACTTTTTAGTATTATTGTGAATGACATCTGTATATTAGTTATTAACAAACAAGTATACATTTTGTTTAGAAGTTTTTTAATTTATTGGCTGCAAAATAATGAGCTATGTATTGATAGAACAATTATTAATTATATACCTCAGAGACTTTGAGCAGACACACCTGAGTTTAAAGCTAAATAAATATCCTTATGTTCTTCATCTAAACCGATCAACTGATACTCGGAGCAAAACATCGCTTGCGGTATTTCACACCATAATATTGGCGGACTTGGCCCGCTATTTTCTTCGCTCACAATAAAATATAATAGATCATCGCTCAATCTTAATACACATTCCTTCGATAACTTCGATATAATTGTTACAACATCTGTAAGTTAAAGATTTTCTATAAAGACACAACTACTGCTATTACTTTGGCCGTTGATTTAAATATGGTTAAGATTTTTAAAGTGTGTTATATATACTTGAAAACTTCCGCATTGGCCCAGCATCTATCATAACAGCACGGAATTTCATGTTTTATATTGAATTTTATTCAATATTCTGTAAAAATACTAATAATAATCTATATGTTTGTGACTTCTAAGAATAAATTCGCGGGTTGTGGTGCCACTTTTGTTTTTGTTCTTGACAGTTGAATATTGAGCATAGACAATAAAACGCATAGGGATGGACGTTATTACTAAAATTTTTTACTATTGCACAGAGTAACAACGAATAATGATTGGCGAATTTTGGTTGTGTTTGTCACACACAAACATGTTGATGAAGTGCATCCGTAAGATAATAAATAGAAGAAAAAACTAAATTTTAGTAATAATGTCTCACGTTTTAGTAAACTCTTAAATGTTGACTTTTGCAGTAAAATTATTGCTACATTCTAATAAGCTTTCTCCGAATTTGTCAATGGAAATAGCGCTACTCTCAAGTTTTAATGTTTCAAGTAATTGTTCTTTGTTGAGTTCAAAAAATATTTAGCTATCCTAAGTACCTAACCCACAAAAATATACTACTCTATCTACAACTACACAAAGGTATCTTTGTCTTTTTTTAATTAATTGCTGTATTGTCAACTGTTCTAACTTTTCCCCTTTTTAAATGTAGCTAAAATCTGAGTCTCATATATTTTGCGGTTATCCAATAATATTAATTCACAAATTTTGAGCAATCAGATATGCTTTATTGGCCATTTTTTTTTGTTTTTTTGGCGGCGAGATAACAACCATTTTCTTAGCCTATGTGGGGCGAAACGGAGTGTTAGACTTTTACTGACAATATAAAAACACTCCGTTCAGTGTTACGCTTTACCGGCAGCCCCCGTTGAACATCAGTCGTCAGTTTAACGTCGTTCGTAAAACGTCTGGTTCTGGTCGGGGAGGGGGCTACCCTTGCTCGTCATCGGGAGTCTCGCTCTTATGACAACCGGAGATCGTCACATGATCTCCAACGCCCGGAGTATCTCCTCCTGCGGCAGCTGCGTCGCGAGAAAGAGAGCACGGCTACCAAGTCCCTTCTTGCTCCACACCATGGCTTCATCTTAGTCCGATCGCAAGAGATCACCGCCGGCGATGACATTCCACCATATGCTCCACCTCGTTCTCCAAGTCGTCCTCACTCCTCTGTTAAACAGTAATTTTAGTTAATTAAAATATATTCACGAAACCCTATGCAAAGCCAATTTACACTTATCTACTGAAAATCTTTAATAAATTCTATGGTTTGAAAACAAAAATAGTATATGAATGAATTAAAGTTCAATTATTGTAGAAGAAAATATTATTCATGTTTTTTAACTTTCGAGTCTAATTGTTTTGTGACATCAGTTTTAGTCGATTAATAAATGATATCAATTTCACCATAGACAAAGATTCGTACGTTCTCGTTTCCTACAAAGATGGCTCTAATGGCGCTGTCGTGTTGATAAAGTTCTATTTACGGTACATTGTTGCTCTCTTTCTCGCATACATGATTTTACAAAAGAAAGAGTGAAATAGAGAATGCTCCATTTTGATTGTAACGAATACTAACGAATTGTGGTTATATGACTTGAAAAGTTTTTATTTATTTTTACTAAATTATTGTGCAATTTAAAGGTTTATAGGCCATGTTTCGATTTATATATTCATCCTAATTTTAATTCTCAATTTTATTTTCGTAAAATATTAAGACAAGACGGACAAATGGAGAAAAATAAGGAGTCAAGGTATGTGTACGATCGATAATGTCGTCATTATGAATGTGTTGATGTATTATAACCACAAATACACTTTCTACCACATATCATTTTCACTTCTACCTCGCTTAGTTATCACACACAATGTAATTGTTGTCATTCATGTGGGTATTTAATGAATTAAGGTTACGCGAGCTGTTTATTTTGGAAAAATATTGGCACACATTCCGCCGTTGGCCATAACGTTTTTACTTCGAATTCGATCTTCGAATGTTTAACGGATTCTTATTTGAAAGAAATTCGTTATTTTATATTTCAATTATTATGGTTAATTGACACGGTGAACAAAATCAGCCAGGTAGGAAGCAGAATTGTTAGATATTTTATCGTCTTCAGAGTATTTTAACGTGATGCAACTACGTAATACGGTTCAATGTCGTCCGTGATTAGGTAGGTGCGTTGGTTATGCAATGTTAACTTGTCCATTTTATACGTTCGGAATTTAAACCTGAGAGAAAATGTTTCATTGTAATATTATATAGTTTTCTTTCTATATCTGATACACAGGTGGTTGCGAAATGAGGTTAACATTTGGTATGAACGGTTCTGCTTGAAAAGATAATCTTGCTAGAAAAAGATAGCGTATATTTATTAATAGGTAAACACGACGTTGATAGTGACGCTGCGTTCACCTCTATTATCTGGTTTGATTGTTTACTGCAACTTTTATTTTTACCAAATCGGTGGATTCTTGCTTAAATATTAATTTTTATTGCATGAAGCATAATAAAATACTTTATAGAATATAAAAAATGTAAGTAAATGGTACAAGGTTAACTTTACATACGTGTCCTTGACCAATTTATCTAATTAAACCAATTTCAGATAGAACGATAAATAAATGTACAAATAAAAAAGACTATAGAGTGGCTAATTGTTAGCGTTGGTTAACCCAAGTCTTCCAAAGGTCAGTAGAAAGAGAAGTTTTCGTTTAGAGGTTACGGTTATTGAGGTTTTAAGGATAAAAAATAGATTATGGTCCTTCTTACTACTTACTGATAAAGTAATATCACTAGCTTAATTATTTCGAATTTACGTTATTAGTATAATCACCAGCTGTTCCAACATGGCGTACTTTGGTCGAGACTGACTCAAACATATCACTGCTAAGCTGGTAAGTAGGCGCCTAATAAAAAGTGATCAGACTTTCCCTTTGCTCTAAACTTTTCAATCGTGGTAAATTCTAGACACAATAGAAGAATTATAGGTACGCGTGTTGTTTTGACGAATTAAACAGACAAATCGATAATGAATCGATAACTCTTACTATATGTAAAGTAGCCGACAGGATTTGGAGAACATACCGAATAATAATTCAGGGCTTATTGATCGGTTCTCTCGGTTTGTAATATATCGCACATATTTCAAGGTAAGCAGGATACTCTAACAGAAATGAGGTCATCAGAAGCACAATATAAATACGTGCTCGATAAAACCCAACCTAATGTGGTATAAAATAAAGTCTGTGCTCAAATTACAAACTAAAAAGATTCAGACCTCATATTCGAAGGTTATGAGAAGTGAAAAGCTATTGTAATATGAAGATGTATGATGAGAGCAGTCAAAGGTTCAAAAAATATGGGAAGGAGGTGATCGTAAAATGTGATATTTTGCATTCTTTGATGAGTTTTGAAAGAAGTTGTGCCACAATTGCCTACACAACCATCATAAGCCTAAGACAGTCAAAAACTGAACTATTTATGAGCCGTCTCAAAGTTAGTGATATCCAATATATCTATAGATATCAGCTCCAATTGTTTTAAGACTGCAGTTTTACAGCCTACAGTCTTTCTGACAGAACAGACAGACTACTTACGATAGATTATGTTTTGACGTTTCTAAAAGTCCATATTTATGGTTTAGTTGGAATAAATGATTTTGACTTTGACACAACCATTTTTCGATTTGAAGCAATATTTCCTGAGCCTACTGTGTTCAAATACAAACAGAGCACCAAGATTTACTTCAGCTTTATTATATAAAGTATCAATAGTATACCTGACTATAACCTTCACGTCTTTACGATTGAAAGGAGCATTTTTGAAGGTTTTGCCGTCGCAATCACAGTTTTAAAGGTTCTAGTTTTGCCGTATCTTTGTCGAATATTCATTTAATCGTTTTATTCTTATCCGGCTTTCACAATGTCAAAGTCAAAATCATTTATTCCAATAAATAGGTACTTTAGAAACGTCAAAATAGAGAAGTAGTCTGTCAGTCTGTTCGCCATTGAAGCTAGGTGGCAAAACTCCTAGAAGAGAAATGTTTTCTCTTCTACCGTAGCTACTCTGCTCACAGCCTATAAAGAATTCAGTAAAGACGTGACATCACGCATCATCAGCTTATCAATGCCCAGTTCTGAACAACATTTCAAAAGCTTCCTTTCCTCGTAGACGATTTGAGAATTCATCACCACGCTTGCTCAAACCTTATTGGTGATTTCGTATATAATTGGAAATAATTAGTTAATATAAGTCCAGGTTTTTCCACGATATTATACTAAACACGAAAAAGGCCACATTGACACTTACTACATAGGCTTTGAATCCACGAAATGCTGTAGCCAAACAAGAAAACTAGCGCCTTTTTTGAAAGTAAAAGAAAATGTTGAAGAAAATATGAGATCAAATAAGGAACATTATTAACTTCCTAAATCCCTTTAAATATTTGAAGCCTAATGTTGGGCACCTAAATGTCTCAGTCTGAATAATGAATCAAAAAACAAAACAAATCGATCGAATTAGTCAAGCCGATATTAATGGATGCGTTTGCGGTATCCATTCATAATGACAAGAACTTTAATCACATATAAGACCGGTTCTACATGAATGTTGAAAAACAGCTGATGTTATTCTTAAATATTGTGAGAAGAAAACATGTTTAAATCCTGGAGGATTATCATAATTTATAATCTTTTGGATGAGTGCGATATAATGACGTCATTTTTGTATATTATGTGCGGGATGATATGCGCCGAGCTCTCGCCTACCTGATAGGTAAATTATTCTCAAGTAGATAGACCCGTCAAGTTTACAGTGGGCACCGTGTAACATGTGATTTACGACCTTATACAACACGCCAGCGGTTTGACCTGCGTGGCTGTGATAAAACATTACCAATGTTCTATAATCTACCTCTATCTACTATCTACCTCTATGTCAAGCTTCATTCAATTCCTGTACTAGTCCTTTCGCTAGAGATGAAGATTCTTCTTTCGATTCAATCGGGTCCTCCGCTGGTGCCACAAGTGATACAGGCGGCAGCGGCAGTTTAAATTAAACAAACCACGATAACTAATAAATTATTTATATCGTTTATTTATTTCCACTCATTTTCAAAATAAAACGACCCTTTTTATATATTTAAAGTTTTGGAAGCCGTTTCACGTTTAGTGAGGCTCCAGTTACCCATTGGCATACACCAGAAACCTAAGCTTACTAGCTTAGAAGGCCACGATGCTTTACACTAGGGCCGCTAGGGATAACAGTACCATCAATCAAATCAGTGGGGGAAATTTGTGATTACCAACCTGCTCATCATACGACGACCACTAGTGATAAAGGCATTTCATGGGGTTTACCACTAAAAGGACGGACCACAGGCTGACGACTTTCAAATCCTTGTTAAGCTTGTCAATAGTCAACTAGTCCTCCAGCCGAACTTTAGTGTAAATCTGAAAGTTACCGGCGTAAAAATAATACGCACACTAAAGATTACGAAGTAGATTTATACAGAAAAAAATATAGTCGGTAGGGAATAGTAACTTGGGGACACCAAAGTGTTATTGACGCGCACAGCCTGCTCTCACCCACGATTACTAATCCGTCAGTATTTCTTCGATATCATACTGCAACCTGGAACCGCAAAAAATTGTCTTCTCTTTGTGTTGTCACCGTGTCTGCTAGATTCAAGTCTTTTCCTGTAGTGTACAGTATCTGTAAAACAAAACGTCGATATACTTTCCGAACAAAAGAGCGACAGATTCCACCTTCGAATTATAAAAACGTTGACTTAAAACCTTGTTTCAGTAAAGCGAGTAAAGCCGCTATTAGGGATGCCTCATCTTACACTATTTTTATTTAAAATTACTTAAATCTACCTTGGTTGCCTTTAACTTGGTTAACGATAAATCCGAAGAAAAATGTTTTGAAATGGGAAAAAGGTCCTGTAAAGCGTAAAATAATCATTTTACAGTGTAAACATTACCTACAACACGGAGAAAAGTCCAAAAATAAAACAATATCAAATTTACGGAGAACATTTTGTCATAATGTTACACGACATTTAAAATAACTAATTACCCTTTCGACCCGCATATAGTCTACAAAAGAATCAGTATACTGCATTATTGTTTTCGTTTCAAGTGAATGTTACTTTGACTTTTAAGGCAATTAGCGCATACCTATGAAAGTTTGAATCCAGACTTGAGTCTATTTCTAAGTTGGTCATCATTACCTAAGTGATTTTCTTCAATCCACGCTTCCAAAGTTCGTCTTTCATAATTTGTACTAACTTTAAGCTCCTACATAGATTACCAACGACATTTTACATAATATTTGAAACAGCCGCTCAATGAACAAGCCAAGACATGTCCGAAGTATTATTTTCACGGTCCGTTCACGCTGTAATTGGTATTTTAAATGACATCCACACCAGGTGCATCCATAAATATAATTCAAGCCACATGTCGATTGAGTGTTGATTTAATTTACGTATCGTGACTAAGGTACACATAGAAATAGGTCCCTACTAAATAATAAACATTTTAAACTATTTACTCAGAACCTCTTTGGAACTTCCAGTTCCGCTCATTAGTTTAGAATGTACAGTAATGAAGAAAACTATTAGTTTTTAAAGGCACTTCATAGTCATGCGATGCCTACTTGCAGATGTCAATGTAACCATTATTTCACATAACTTAGTATAGAATTTAAGAATGTGCTGAATACAGTCTACAGAACAATCTCAGTATTCAATATTTTACAGTACTATAATATAGTTACAGAAGGAATATCCCCCATAGCACCTGTCTGTTACAAAACAGAAACAAATTAGTAGACATTGTCCAAACGAGCTCATATTGATCCTGAGAACTAGTGGAACAGACACGCTATACGGAACTTAAATTTTTTTTTGGTACACTTTCCATTAATTTTTTCAAATAAAGAAATTAAGTAAGTCTAAATATCTATAGCCTTGCTATAAATTACAAACTATGCTGTAGGTAAAATCCATATAATAAAGTTTTACCGTCAAAACGCCATAAAGTGTTCCAGTAAGTAGCTTAGTTTATCCATTACAACAAATGCCCAAGCACGGTGGTCTCCACTTAAGTTTTAATTACATCTTTGCACAAACATCTCGCGTCTCCATCATATACCCTGTCGCGAATCCCTTTTATTATGTTCCACAAACTTGTTTACTACAATCAATCAAAATTACAGGACACTTGGTTACTTCTATTAGTTGTATTTCTAGATTCAAGAATCTTGATGACGCGTAATCAAAGGCTTTTTGCTGCGTTGGCCCGCGTCTTACATCCTGTCATCAGCTACATAGATAGTATACTGTGTCGTTTGGTCTGTGTCCGTCCGTGGTAGCGTGGTTAATGTAGTATAGATTGGTTTAAGGGTTTAACGTTTCTGAAGGGTATTATTGCGCCAGTGTATTTTCGGCTTTAAAAAAAAGGAGGTTCTCAATTGGACCCATTTTTTTGTGTATTATATATATTGATTTGAAAAAATCCTAATGGCCTAAAAACAAATGTCGAGCAGATCAACATTCTTGCAAAGTCCTGTTTATCGTAAAAATTCTGTGTTGTTTTTTTTTAACCAATTCTGGGTTTTTTTGTTCACAGCTTAAATGGAGAAAAAGTAACAAAATCCTACCTGCAGTTCCAGATTGACAGATTGAAACTCCTACAAGCAAAGCTGTCCACAGAGGCTGAAGAAGATTATGTTATTGTTAAAGAAGAGTAAGTAATAGATATAATAAGCTTTACAGAAAACACAGCGAAAATATTTTAGGCTTATCTGGATGAACAGAAGCTGATTTAATTCACGTTTGTGCTGACCCGTTTGTAAAGGACCTGCATCGCACGTATAAGGGGAGTTAGAACCCTGGTAAGAACCTAGTGTTGTCTAAACACCACTAACAAACGGCGAAGGAAAACATCGTGAGGAAACCAGTTTAAAATCCAAATCCGTCTTGAGCAAGCGTGGTGATATAGCTCAATTCTTTTGCGTATGACAAGAGGCTTTTGCTTGGCGGTAAGCACTTATAGATTATGATGATTTGGTTAGTGATGATGTCCATGTGAAATTTAGTATATGGTATGGTATGTATAACAAGATCCGTTTTCGACATCGTATTTTATCGGCACGAATGGGTCGGCTCGACCAGAGTGATAGCACGCCCTCACAGAAAACCGACGTGAAACAACCACAGTGTTGTGTTTCGCCGTTTGAGAGAGGTTACCATAGGCCTAATCTGCCCCGCCTCCAATCTCTAAATCTCCAAATTCCTTATCCCCAAAAGGTCGGCAACGCACTTGAACTTCCTGTTGTTTCGGGTGTCCATGGGCGGCGCTGATTACTAATCATCAAATAATCCGTCACCTCGTTTGCCGATCTATTACATAAAAAGAAATGCCTAGCATTCAATTACCATCATTTAAGTTTCCAATCAGAATATTGGACGTCGTACAACGATTGATAAATTAACATGCCATTTAGATATACTAATTGCGAATGAACATCTTACATTTAAATCCAGACTAGAGCTATCTTCAGACATAAGTCTGTTCCGTTTTATCGTTAACATTAATGTGGTTCTTGGGTTAGCACGACGCTGCATTTCCAAGGGTATGATATGATTCTCCCTTTTTTGTGGAGGGAAAACAATCAAATGGGTCGACCATTTGATGGTTTCCCGCCCAGGGTAAGTTGAGAGAGATAATGGAATGCCCTCTTCTTCTCCTGCTCCAGGCCGAGGCTGCGTTACGTTATTGCACTTGATCCGCAACCTCCACTAAAGCGTATAGCTCTCACTTACGTAGATTAGTTCACAATTACTTATAAATTAAAGAAATATAAAATACTAGCTACTCTCACGCGGTTTCACCCGCTGCTCGGCTTCATTTAGCGTAGCATTGTAGCGTGACGTTTTATAGCTTATAGCACTCAGAAACATTGCAGCAATCTATCAGTGAATGAATTTTGGCAATCCGACCAGCGGTTCCAAAGATTACCTCCTACATAGTCTACATACAAACTTACAAATTTTACCTCTTTATAATATTAGTATAGATTAGTTTCTGCCCGTGACTTCGCCCGCGTGAAAAATGACTTCTACCTAACTATCCCATTTCCATTCTCAAATTCGAAACTACGTCTGTACCAAATTTCACACAAACCGGTTCTGTCTGTAGTTTAGGCGTGAAGAAAATACAGACAGACAGAGTTACTTTCGCATTTATAAAATTAGCTTGGATCAAGAAAAAGAGAATTTATCCAAGATTTCATTAGAATTGATACCTACAGATTTTAAGGAAAGCCTCGTTTTAGGCTTATCCACTCGATAATTTCGTGCCACAAAGCAGTTTACTTTTTACTTGGAGCTACCTCGACGTTAACAAGTTTTTGAAATACCATAACTGGTCAATAGCAACTGTTCCTGTCATCTAGTTGCCCTTCGGGGTATAACATATCTTCTTTAGCATTTTGACTATTTCTGACTTATCGCGTAAGTAAGTAAAATATAAACTATTAAAATAACATCGCGTGTGAGAAACGCCCTTTGCAATCTAAGGAAGCTCATTCATTAGTCTCGTAGGCTTTTGACATTGCGATATCTAGTGAAACTCGGGTGACATTCTTGTACGCCCACACGTACTTGAATATCAATGATGTTTTAAATGTGAAAACAGTCTGTTTGTTCCTCATCACAAAAACGGATGAGCAAATTTTGATGATGTATTTTGTTACTCACTAGCGACTTAGCGACTCGCCCCGGCTTCGCACAGGTATTATGCTGATAATTTTCTCCACTATTTGTAATGGATGTTATACGACATGACATAATAATATACAAAATTCTCTTCAACCCTCTATCTATAAAAAATGTGCATCAAAATCTGTTACGTAGTTTTAAAGATGTACGCATGTATGTGGGATAAAGGGATAAAGAAAGCGACTTTGTTTTATACTACGTAGGCAGGAATATTAAGACAGTCACGATTTCACTAAAATTAATTTAAAAAGGATACAATCGGAAGCCATTTTGAAATTTTATGATTAATACCTTTGCAGAGACGAGTGTAACCACGGGCTTAAGTTTGTTTTGCACAAATTGAGTTGGGTGTGGAGTTGCGAAGCCTGTTTGGACATCAATTCGCACGCATTATTCTTTTGGGTGCGTCTCTGAATGACGTCATTAATAATGTATTGTGATTCGATAATAATATAATGGTACAATTTCTCGGTACAATTTAATAATACATAATCTACGTGCCAAGACGCAGAGGCGTTGGTACTTATTGTATAAACATTTTTATCGCTCGCTACAGATATCTAAATTGTTATTAAAAATAACTAATTTGAAAACCAAGTCTTTGCCTGAGTTGCGGGTCTAGCGCAATAAGATCGCGAGAGCCATGCTTCGGCACGAATGGGTCGGTTGAATGTCGGCAGAAAACCGGCGTGAAACAACCACAGCGTTGTGTTTGCCGTGTGAGTGAGGTTACCGGACGCCCAATCCTTCCCCTCCGGTCCGCAACGCACTCGTAACTCCTTCGTTGCGGGTGTCCATGGGCGGCGCTGATTGCTTCCCATCAGGTAATCCGTACGCTCGTTTGTTGAGCTATAACATAAATAAATTGTCCACACATCACGTCACATCATCAGCCTATAAGTGCCCACTGCTAATCAAAGGCCTCTTCTCACACGGAAAAGGGCGAATTGGTGATTTCAAACTTATAATTAAGTCCAGGTTTCCTTACGATGTTTTCTTTTACCGTTTGTCAGTGGTGGCTTAATAATCATAGAAAGTCACATTGGTACTTGCCACGTTCCTAGCCTCCGGGCCACCACAAACCATTCGACCGCTACGGTTATTTAAAGAAGTTCAATAAATACAGAAACTAGGTCAAAATTACTCGTACATTACTGATAGCCTTTTGTTTGACCTGGATGCAGCCTATCCGGTATTTTAAGGGTCAAGCCCTACACACAATATTATGAGCCTTATGGCTAAAGGATTATGGACTATTATGTAGACGGTTTTACAATAAAACACGCCAGACTTTATTGTTGAAACTCGGTTTCTTCTTTTGTTGCAAACAGCTGTGCAAAAACGTAGGTATATAAGTTGGACAATTCGGATAGTGTAGGTAGTTAATTGTATACCTATGTACGAAATTCAGCTGTGCCTCTGTGTGTCCTCTTCGATAGATGTTCTTTAGCAATTTACCTAAAGATCTGCTTGTTTGCCGTATTGCAGTTGTTTAATTCTCTTTCAATAGAAGAGTGAAAACTTGAATCATCGTACCTAATTTTGTTTATCATTGAAATCCATGTATAATGATTACGTAACCTATTATTTTATAAGTATTTAAAAAGAGAAATAGTTGCACCCTTATATTTCCTGTTGTAGGAGAAGTAACAATAAACACAAAATAAACGCAAATACCTACTTGAAATAAATACTTAATTAAATTAAAGTCACGTGGCGATAAGTTTTATCTATAAAGCTGAACAAATTACTTACCTATTAACTTAGTTGTTATACATATTAGGTAGGTATGTTCGCGGAATTTTTATTCGAAAACTTGTTCCAAAGAGATCGCATCATCCTAGACTGAAGCTAGACTCATACTTTCCCTATTATTCTTACACCTGCATGTATACTCACTCAGAATCCCACATCTCTACAATAAATAAATTGAACTTGGAATTCCATGGTCATTATAGCACGGCCTCAAGCACACAGGGAGGAGGTGGTGTTGCTACAATTAATATTTAAAACTCCCCATGGTTTTCGGACATTTTAATATTATTCTTTATAATAATGAGAATAATTTTAATTAATAAATATCGGTGAGGCGATTGACCAGCCTTGACGGTTTTTAATGGAAATTATAAAATGTCAGTCTCGTTGACGATGAATAAAGATTATTGTTATGTTTTTCGCATTTAATTTGAATAATTTATTATTAGTAAGCAGAAGGTGATTTCTTTCATCTATAAGTAGTCGAGTATGTAATCTACCTAATAATAATTTGTAATAATAACAAGCGTTGCGTATAATTATGTTTTTAAAGTTCTACTAGGTAGCGAAGTCAACTAAGTGTGAAGATAAGAATAATATCAAAATATTCGCAGTAGATTTACTTTAACTTAATGCCGTACTCGGGAGACATTAAATTTATTGATTACATAAGCTATTCCTTGGTAACGATTTGGTTCAGAAAACAATACCTAAAGACCATAAAAATGGCTCTGAGTACAGCGGTTTTAATTACCTAATACGTGCCTATAAACAGAAACTTGTTGTTTAAATCTTAAATTCAATATTTTATCTTATTACTCGAGTCAAACATCGCAACATTTTGCGAAAAACAATTTATTATTAATTAAAATTAATAATTGCCGTGATTTTGTCTCTGTAAACCATTCTACTATAGGGCGAAGGCCTCAATTTATGTGGTAATTCATACTAATAATTAAACTTTCGTTTAAAAATGAAACGATTTCCCATTTATGAAAGGAGAATCTACCATGTTGGCAACACCATAGCTGAGGGTAAACGCGCCGGGTTCCCGCGATCGCCACTCGTTCAGTCAGTCCGGCTTCGCGCGCGTAACAGCCGAGATTCATCGCGTCCTACGCTCCATTATTAAAAAAAAAACAATAAAAAAATAAACCATTGAAATTATCTGTATCATTTTGGCGGTAACGAAGCCAATAGTGATGTTCG